AGCCTGGTAAAACCCCACAGAGCCTTTGTTAAGCCAGGGCTCTGTAGGGTCTCACCATGGCTCTGTAGGGTCTCGCCAGGGCTCTGTAGGGTCTAACCAGCTTGGTCTAACCAGCTTGGTTAGACCCCACAGGGCCCTGGTGAGAGCCCAAAGAGCCCTGGTGAAATCCCAAAGAGCCCTTCAGAGCTCTATAGGGTCTCATCAGGACTTTGTAGGGTCCCAACAGGGCTCTGTGGGGTTTAACCAGGGCTGGTGAGACCCCCACAGAGCCCTGGTGAGACCCTCGCAGAGGCCTGGCTAAACCAGGGCTGTGTGGGGGCCTCACCAGGGTAGCAGGCCTGTGGGGGTCTCACCAGGGCACTGTGGGATCTAACCAGCCTTGTTAGACCCCACAGAGCCCTAGTGAGACCCCACAGGGCCCTGGTTAAACCAGCGCTCTCCACAGCGCTCTCCTCAGGGCTCTCCAGGCCGCCACTCACCAGTACTGTGCTGGCCGTGTCTCGGGGGTGGGAGCAGGCAGGACCAGGCGGTGCCGACATAGTCTCCATCTGCTGCTGAAGATAAACTCCAAACTCCCAGCCAGAGATCCTGGTGTGGTGGATGGGAGGGGTGAGGTCATTTCTCATTGGCTGGTGGGCAGAGCTCCAGAAGACCGAGTGAATGGACCGCACAGACGATCGAGGAAACGTATAAGCGCTCAGCACTGTCATTGTCAAACTGAGAGTCTCAGTTTGACAGTGGCAGGGCTGAGAGCTCGCAACGTTACCTGACTGCGAGCGAGGTGATGTGCTGTTCCGACGGGGCAAACAAGGCGCCCCTATTATTCATAGGGGCGTCGGACCCCTAGGAGTAATGTGCAGTGACACAGGCTCTGCTGCTCAGCCTCCAGCTGTGAGAGTTCCGCGGCTGCCCCTGAGGAAAAAAAAACCCTTCCTGCATGTGGGCAGGAAGGTTTTTTTTTCCTGTGCTGATTCTACGGTACGACCGAGGCGGTACGGACACTTTGCCGATCCCTGCGCTACGCGGGCGATCCTATCGGCAAGTTTCTGCTGGCAGCGGGCTCAAGGGGCAGCTGCTTTGGGCCCCACATGGTCCTCATGGTGGCAGCCATTGTCCTCATGGTGGCAGCCATTTTGGACATGTGCAGACTGCAGTCTCTTTTATATCCTCTGATTGCATCACTGCTTGCCTGCTGCCTGGGCGTCGCACAGTGATGATGTGGCAACACCTGACTATATCAGTCTGCTCCGGATTCAGGTTCATTGCCCTTGCGTTTGTGCTCCAAGGTGCATCTCTGGCGATCTGAGTTCCTTTGTGTGTTCCTGTGTATGATCCGGTCCGGCTGACGTTTCCTCTGGCTCTCGATCCTCCGCATCGGCAGACGTACCCGCATTGGACTCGATTCCGGCTTGGACGACTACCCGCTTTGGACTTGACCCTAGCTTGGACGACTACCCGCTTTGGACGTGATCCCGGCTCGGCAGATGTACCCACATTGGACTTGACCGGCTTGTTCCTGACCTCGCTGCTCCCTGATGAATGTTTATTTATGTTCCTTTAAATAAACACCTGTATTTTACCTGCGTTTCTGTGTGGTCTGGTTTCCTGGCTCCCGTGACACACTGCCACCTACAGGGCTTCCTGACAGAGCCCCCCACCAAAGAGCGGCCTCCGGATGCGACCAGGGGAAGGCTTCTCGGGGCGAGCCCGATGGAACGCCCTCACTTTGGCGTCCGCATCGACATTCCCCGAGGGCTCCCAGGATCGCTCCTCGGGACCATACCCCTTCCAGTGGACGAGATACTCAAGGACCCCACGCCGGCGGCGGGAGTCCAAGATCTCCTGGACTTCGTACTCATCATCGTTATTCAGCTGAATGGGAGGTGGCGGAGCAGGCGCCTGGCCCGGGAATGGGTTGGCACGGAATGACTTCAACAAGGACACGTGGAATTCCAGGTGGATTCCCAGGGATGCAGGCAACCGGAGCTTGGCAGCAACGTTGTTGACCATACTCACGATCACGAAGGGACCAAGGAAACGGGGTCCCAGTTTTCGGGAGTGACAGGACAGCTTGAGGTGCAGTGTGGAAAGCCACACCTTGTCCCCGTCTTTGTATCTGGGGGACTCCATGCGTCTACGGTCTGCCTGCGTCTTGTGTCGCTGCTGAGAGCCCTGGAGTTGTTGCGTTAGGGTCCGCCTCAGTTCTCGGAGGTGCCGGAGCCACTGAGCCACTTCAGGCACGGGGACATCAAGGGGGAGAGCCGGGAGAATCATGTCATAGGAACAAGTTCGCGGTTTGTTGGGCCGTCGGGAGACCGAAGGTCAGAATGAAGTGGGACATCTTGGTACATCTGTCTACCACCACCATAATGGTGGTACAGGCTTGCGAAGGAGGTAAGTCCATGATGAAATCCATTGCTATGTTGCGCCATGGAAGGGTTGGCACTGGCAGAAGCTGTAACAACCCAACGGGTTTTGAGGTGGGACGTTTGTGGAGTGCACACACGGAACAAGACTCTATGAAGGAGCGTATGTCGGCTGCCAAAGAGGGCCACCAAAACCAACGTAGGATGCATTCCGTGGTGTTGCGCCTACCTCGGTGGCCCGCTGTGGGGTGCTCATGGTGATGCTGTAATACAGGCAGTCACTGGGGGACTGGGACATAGATCCACTGTTGGTGGTAGCGAAGCCCCTGCCTTACCGGCAGATGGGTTGCCTCCTTTGGAGCTGGCGTACTGGCCCGTCTGATCCTCTCGATCAAGGAGTGTTGGGTGGCCAGAAAGTATGCGGCTGGCAGGATCGGTTCCGGAGGTGCAGGGTCGGCCTCAGAGGAGCACATACGGGACAAGGCGTCGGCCTTGCCGTTCTTGGATCCCGGTCGATAGGATAAAAAGAGAGCCCACCTGGCTTGTCGGGGACGCAGTCGCTTGGCACTGCAGAGATACTCGAGGTTGCGATGGTCGGTGTACACCACCACAGGGTTTTTGGCTCCCTCCAGCAAATGTCTCCATTCCTCCAGGGCGTCCTTGATGGCGAGCAGCTCCCTCTCGCCCACATCATAGTTGCGTTCGGCCCGGTGAGTTTGCAGGAATAAAAGGCAATGGGATGGAGAAGCTGCTTCTCCCCTTGGACCTGGGAGAGAACGGCCCCGATGGCCCCCTCGGAGGCGTCGGTCTCTAGAAAAAACGGGCGAGAGGCGTCCGGTTGTACCAGGATAGGTACCTGTGTGAACAGCCTCTTGAGGTGCTGGAATGCCTGTTGGACCGCCGGGGTCCATTCAAACAGGGCGTTGCTCCTGGTCAGCGCAGTGATGGGAGTGCAGATCGCTGAAAAGTTCCGAATGAATCATCGGTAAAAATTGGCAAAGCCAATGAACTGCTGCACCATTCGCCGATTGCGAGGGACAGGCCAATTCTGGACGGCCTGGATCTTCCTGGGGTCCACCTCCACTCGGCCTGGGGATAGGATGTAGCCCAGGAATTCGATGGACGAGACTTCGAAGGTGCTTTTTTCAAGCTTGCCATAGAGATTGTGAGTCCGCAGACGCTGGAGCACTGATTTGACATGCCATTCTTGTTGTGGCAGTGTTCTGGAAAAGACAAGGATATCGTCCAGGTATACCACAACATGGGTATCCAACAGGTCACGGAAGACGTCGTTGACGAAGCACTGAAATGTAGCGGGGGCGTTACAGAGCCCGAAGGGCATGACAAGGTACTCGTAGTGCCAAAACCGTGAGCGGAATGCTGCCTTCCTGTCTTCCACTCACCCCCCTCCTTGACACGGATGAGATTGTAGGCCCCCGGAGGTCGATTTTAGTGAAGAAACGGGCATCCTTGACTCTGTCCAGCAAGTCGGGAATGAGGGAGAGCGGGTACCGGTTCTTCTTGGTGATGTCGTTCAGGGCCCGGTAATCGACACAGGGCCGGAGACCCCCATCTTTTTTTCTTACAAAGAAGATGCCGGCCCCGACTGGAGAGGTCGAGGGGCGGATGAACCCCTTAGCTAGGCTCTCTTCTATGTAGTCCTTCAGGGCCCTGGTCTCAGGTTCGGACAGATTATACAGGCGCCGGTACGGCAGTGGGGCTCCAGGGAGCAGGTCAATGGGGCAATCATAAGGCCTGTGTGGCGGCAAGGCGTCTGCTCCCTTCTTTTCAAAAACGTCGGCATAGTCCCGATATTTGTCAGGCGGTCTGTGTACGACGGTGTCCAGAACCGTAGGAGGGCTCGGAGCCGGAGACGCGTGCCCGGAGGGGGGGCGTGAAGGTGATGGAACCAGAGGTGCAGTTGATCGTTGGGTTGTGTCTTCTAAGCCACTGAATGCCTAGAATGACTGGAAACAAAGAGGAAGGCACGATGTCCCACACGATCTTCTCGGAATGGTGATTACCGATGCGGAGGAGCAAGGGATGGGATTCCATGGAGATAGGTCCCGTCTTTAGGGTGCTGCCATCCACCAGATGCAGCTGGGATGGGTTCTTGTCCATAAAACAGCTGCTTGCGCCCGAATCAATGATGGCAGAGAGGCCAATATCGTTCTTGTCCAGCTGCAGGGAAACAGGGATGGTGAGATGAGACGAGTTGTTATACATAGGTAGGTTAATGCATACTGTGGGTGTCTCCGGCCTACCTGTAGGGGGTTTGATGGGACAGTCATTCAGGAAATGGCCCGGTTTTGCGCAGTATAAGCACAGATGCAGTGTTTGTCTCCTGGTTCTCTCCACCGTGGACAGGGGACCCCGAACAGCCCCGATGTGCATCGGCTCCCCCTGGTTACCGTCTGCCGCCGTAGGAACAGATACCGGAACCAGAAGCAGTAAGGACTCCGGCCGGAGGCGAGGTCTGTTATCGCTCCCGTCGTCTCTCCCGGAAGTGGCGATCCAGGTGGGTCATTGAGTCCATCAGGCCTCCCAAGGAGCCCGACACCCCGGTGCGGGCGAGCTCATCCTTGAGCTACTCGGACAAGCCGATGCGGTACTGGTCAATCAAGGCCACCTCGTTCAAGCCGGGGCTACCTCACGAAATACCATGATGTAATCCTCCACCAGACGTCTGCCCTGGCGGAGGGTGCGCAAGGTACCCCTGGAGGTTGAAGAACGCAGGGGGTCATCATAAAGTCTTTGCAAAGCTGCGGCAAAGGACTCCCAGGATGCCAGCACTGGGTCATCGGCCTGTAGGAGTTGGTGCACCCAGGTCTGGGGAGGCCCTGCAAGCAAGAAAATCGCTGTGCGTATCTTGACGAAGTCCGTGGCATATGTGCGAGGCTTCAGGGAAAACAACAGCTCGCAGGAAATAATGAAGGAGCGGTACTTCCTCCGGTCGCCTGAAAACCGTTCAGGGAGGCTGACCGACGGCTCGCTAGAGACCACCTCCAGGGTGCGTGTCAGCGTAGGGGGAGTCGAGGGTGGTAGCGCGGTACACTCTGCGATGCGTTGCTCCTGCGTGGCCACCCTTTGTAGCAGGTGCTCATGACTGGCCTGCATCTCCTGGAAGGCCTGCGTCATGAGGGTAAGTTGCTGGGTCAGGGCCGTCACGGCATCCACCGCTTCTGCGGGTTCCATGGTATAAGGCTGAGTTATTATGTCAGATGTACCAGGGAGCTAGTAGCGAGATGAGGAACCCACTCGCAGTAAGCAGCATACAGTCCAGAAACGAGGTACAAGTTTAGGGGTAATCCAAGAGGGGTAGTCAATGTCCAATCCGGGTCGAGGCAGGCAGCGAAGTTTCTAAGGCGAAAGACAGCCCAAGGGTCAGCAAATGGGAAGGATACGAAGGGGCAACAAGGAAACCAGAGGATCAGCAGGGAGGTTAGGTGTTCGCAATAAGGTGGAATAACTCAGCAATAAGCCAGACCTCAGGCCAGGTTTTTATAGCCAGGGGAGGTAGGACCACCCCCCTGGTCACCGAGGCAACCAGGACGCTTCCCTCCCCGGGAACCAGTGGCAGGCGAGGAAGATGGAAGGTGTGTACTGGGAACCTCCCCCAGCAAGGCTCACACCTGATAGCCCGATGACACAGGAGCGCTATGCTCGCGCTCCCGGGGATGCGGGCGCAGCCTGCGTACTGCACATGCGCACACGCCGCGCGACTCGCGCATGCGCACCCCAGGCACCAGGTGTTCTACCGAGCTGAAGGGGAACTCGTGCCCTGCGCCATGCCCGTGGTCCCCAAGCAGAGGTAACACCCCCTGCTTCCTGACACTTGTTCGTGTGGACGCAAAAATAATCCCCAGCATTGGTTCTAGTAGATGCAAAAATAACCCCAACATTGGTTCCAGTGGATGCAAAAATAATCTCCAGCATTGTATGCACAAATAACCCCAACATTGGTTCCAGTGGATGCAAAAATAACCCCAACATTGGTGCCAGTGGACGCAAAAATAACCCCCAACATTGGTGGTCAGTGGATGCAAATATAACCACCAGCATTGGTGGTCACTGTTATTATTAATTGACCCCTTCCTCCACCTCCACACTTTGATTCTAATTGCTAGCCTTTTGTGCAATCAATCCCTTTGCTTCACTTTTTTGGTTCTTTTTATTTTGGGGGTAAAATAGGTTTTTTTATGTCAAACAGCTTTTTGTATTTTGATTTTTATTGCTGCAAGGCCTCTAAAAAAAGGCTGTTAAAAAAAGCTTTTGTTTCAGTGGTAGTTATTTATTAGTTTTCATTTCTTTGGGAAGGATGTTGATTTGAATTTTATATTGACAGGGTATTTTTTAGATGTAGGGTGCGAGCAGCATTCACTACAAAGTGCAAGAACAATGTGCACCTAAACCACCTCAAGTTATATCAGTCATATTTACTGCGCCCCCTATCCCCATAGTAAAAAGACAAGTTAGCAATATACTGGTTATGTCTACTATCACAGATTTAAACTGTCCTGCACCAGCTTACTTTAAACTGCTGTATCCTCTACAGTATAATGATTTTCATCCTAAAATGTCATCCTGAGCTATGTGTCTCTAATAAAGTACAGTAGGATCTAATTCTTAACAAGTGTTTGATAGAAATTGGTCAGCAGCAGGCAGTTTTGGATCAGTGAGAACAAGGACAGCCTCAGCGAACTACTGCCCAATTTCTATCTGCCTGTCAAAGTGGGCCTATTACAATTTGATTAGGAACCATTAGGTTTTCTGCAGTGCTAACACCTTTCTTATTCTAGAGTGACAAAGATGCTCTTCCATAGATACAGTACAGTGAATAATTGATGTGATCCTAGAACAAGAAGTGTGTTACTGGCAAGATAAGAAGGTAAAAATATAGTTTAAAAAAGCCTAAAAATTGCAAAAATATTATTTTACCAAAACAAATATGATTCCAAATTTACATTCAACCACTTGGGAGAGAGAATATCCACTTCGTGTATCCATTCAGCTTTTTTTGTTTCTATAGTTACATAGATTTACAGTGACAGGACAAGGTGCTCTAGCAGCCAAGAGAAAGATGCAAAACTACATCTCCACCCTCCTCCCTTTTTTCCCGCTAGGTCAGTTACAGGTTGTTGAAGGCATTGAAACCTTGTCTAAGCCATCACAAATTACATATCTCATTCCGACAGGATCCCTAGTGACAGTGCCTGATCTCCACACACTTGCTACCTCGGCCCACCACTTAGGACCTCAGCATGCCCTCTTCAATCTTCCTTAGATTCCACCACAGCTCAATATTTTCAAAACCTTTAAACCAGTGGCTGAAGATTGAAAGGGGACTGGAGAGCAGCAGATGTCAGAACAGAGACAAGTGGAGGAAAAGAAGTAACTGCAATAAGTGAAGATTAATTTTTGCTCAACAGTCTGAATCACCCTACCAGGACCATATCCACCCCACAGCCAAAAAATGCTTACAGCAGTATCTTCTCGGACATGAACAAATCCCTACCCCCACCAATAGGGTAAAATATCTGGCAGTCTCTCTGCTGTGTTAAATCAGCACATGCTGAAGTCTTTCCAGATACAAGTGCTGGAAAGTGAAAGGAAGATGGAGAAGCTAACCACCTGACGGATGAGCTAAACACAGGACAGAGAAAGGGCAGGGACAGGGAAGTTTTTATTTTCAGATTTTCCACTGTGACTAGTTAAAAAATGTTAGTTGACTGAAAATGCAAGTCCCGGAAAGACTGCCCCCCTTCAGTTCTTGTGCCTGAGGCAAGCACCTTGACTGCTTACCTGTCAGCCTGGCCATGTGAATATAATTCACTTTGCCCAGCTGACCATCTTCACTAATACATTTATTTAACAGAATATTAGCATTTTGAACTCTTTTTTTTTGTAGATCTTTCCCAATATATAATATCTACACAAGGAAGAAGAACTACCGGCAAGTGTAATTATTTTTAAATTAAATATTAATAAAATATTCAACAGCATGACCTTGTGAAAATTAATGTAGTGTACCAAAAGCCAGAAAGAAAATAGCAGATCATAAAAACAAAATTATGCCAGATGGAAAATTAGAAACTGACACTGGTAAAATATATATGATGTGCTCTAACCACGTTATTAAAAAGTGAGATGTTTCACATTTTATGTGTTAACTTCACATGTTTTTATGTAAGCTCACTCAACAAGATGAATTTCATTCAAAAGCTTTCTCCTAAATACATGCCATAGGCCATCTTAAGTCACATTTACAAAATTTTATTTCATTTTGTTCATTGTTGGCAACAGACCATACATTTTCTGATAATTTTATAACAGTACGTAAAAGGAGAGCAACATTTTGATCTTTTGGTAACAAAACATTGATAAAGACCTGACATTTTTCAGACACGTCTATACTGTGAAACACATCTATCTACACATCAATCCGAAGGATGAAGACAACCTACAATAATAGGTGATTTTTTTGTTCAATAAATGTTTATTAATTTTGGCATAACAAGCTCAGTGAACATATATAATACAGCAAGCAACATGAAAGATCATACAGAAAGGAAAAATTATGTGCATAAAATAACAAAGACAACAACTGGTTTCCAATGCAAAGAGTCAAGGAATAGTCACAAGAACAAAGGATGCAACAGCACCCAAAACACACAAGTAGGATAAGGCAACAAAACCCAGAATATATGGGTGCCAAATGACAGCTCAACATGGGGGGACCGACATTAACCTGACATTTAGAAACTAGGGTAACAGGAGCAGAAGCAGAAGCAGAGGGAAAGACAAGAGGAATAATGAATGGTGGTAAAGGAAGGAAGGAAAGAAGGAAGGAGTGCAACCTACTTCGGAGCCTGGATAGCATCCCAAATAGGTCCAGCCATAGGTGTAGGGAGTGCCTTTGAAAATTTAAGGGGGAGAAAGCAATCTATCCAAGCATCAAATATATATCAAATGTGCCCATTGTGTCATCTTGATGAGCTGTGAGCTTCGAAAAGAAGATATGGGGCATATCATAAAAAAATAGCTGAAAAAAAGTGTGGGGGTCTTCCAAGAATGCACAATCACCCATTTAGCAGCATTGAATATGTGAGAAGATTGGGAGGCTGCAAGAAGTTGGACAAAAGAAAACAACACCAGTGGTATAGGGGTCTGAGGTACATAAGCCTTCAAACTGTGTTTTCCACAAAAAATCTGGATAGCAAAAAATTGTCCCAATATGTTGAGATTTTTATGTGTGTAGCAGGAACAATGGTAGGTTGTCTTAAAATAGTTGATAATTTTTGCAATCAAAAGCCGGTTGAAAATTGCAAAAATGTCCAGAAATTGCTATGTGTATGGCTAGCAAAGGCGTAAGATCTTAATAGTCTATTCTGGTCATAGAGGCAGTCAGTTTTCAGGTGATTCCATCCATTGAGCCAGTTTGATTGTTTCACATCAGCAATAAAAAGCCTGCTTGAAATAGTTAAACTGCCCTGAACGTTTCCATGTTTATGGCCAACATTATGCTACATAGAAAATATTTAGATGGTGATAGAGCTTTCAATGTCTTAAACTGGCCACAGAGGTTCCAATATGATTGTATAATCTCCTTTAGAATTACAACAACTATGTTGTACATGGGACTAGCTGCTAGAATAAAAATTGAACAGTCTATTTTTACTGTTGTTGGTAATTGTAATAGAGTGTACAATTGGACTATTTATACACATGGACAACTTTTGGCTACAAGGAAAAAATACAATAGGCGAAATTGTATATATGCCTCCATACATGTGTACATTTCAGACAATTTATTGTCATTTCCAATCTTCTTTTGATATCACAAAAACATCATAACAAATGAAGGCAACTCACAACCAACAGCATGCTAAAGATTGCTGAGAGCCTGCTTGAGCATGTTTCAACCTACATCCATCTCTTCCATTGTTCTGTACTTGCTACACGTACGCTGTGGCCTGTGTATAGCTCAACATGCAGCTAAACCCTCCTATTCTGCAATAGGTCAGGTGGGTGAAATCTTGATGCTTTATTAACAAAACTAGGTGAAACTGGTAAGGAAAGAACATGGAAACATACAATTAATATGTAAAACAGGTAAATATAGTGACAGCTTGCAAATACAGACAGAAACAAGTCCAGTGATGCTGCCTCAGAGGGAATTTGGGCGCTTTCCTCCA